ATTTTTAAGATGGAAGAAGTATAAATTAACGAGGTCTGATAGAATTTTTCTATTTTTGGAACGAGCAATCTTGTCGTTGACTGAGGGAACCTTTCTCTATTTTTAATTTTCGTAAAGTGTCCTGTGAAAATGAAAATTTGCACGAGTATCCACGGTGTAGTAATGAAACGAATAGACTGTATTATGTTTACTTTTTCGAATGATGCAGTCAATTGCATAATGAAATAGTTATCGAGCTGTGCGACATTTGATAATAGGAGCATTTATTTTCGAGACAATTCGATCATGACAATATTGTGTTTTGCAGCTCGTCAGTACCGCAGTGTCTTACTTCACTCTGCTGAAGCAGTCATCGGAATCCTAATTACCCGTATGCACGTGAATTGCAATTCATTTCATGGAGCAGGAAGCTGCCATGAAAATTAATATCCATGGGCATTGATAGAACTGTCATAGAGGTAATAATTAGCAGAAGATCGTACATTTATTGATCGTGCGATATTTAAATTGCGTTAAAATATTTTTCAAACAATCTTACAGAATGTAAAACGTTGATATCTACGCTGGTAACCACCGTGGAGTTACAACGATGCAACAATGAGATGACCTATGCAGTAATGGTTAAAGCGAAACGCTGATAACCCACGAAATTAACGAAATACCTAATAAATGTAGTAAACGATATATGACCCCTATCTTTCAATATTGTTCTACATGATTAAATAGATATTTTCTGTACGAATATTATGAATATAGAACATACGAACAATATAGACTTGCCAAGAAACAGTTCGCACTCTCTCCTTACCTTATTGGTGCCATTGCAACGTTCAGACACCATTATCGGACAGAATCGTATCGGGAACTGGCTGGTTCGGCTGACATCGCGGGCACTGTGTTTCAATAGACACTGGCAGTCGGCGGATCGGAAGCGACCGAGCAATAGTCACACCCCTCAGACACCTTGTATAATAGATCAATGGAACGTTTGCTTCTACATCTGGTTTTTATGCTACCACGCAGCCGTGCATATCGAAGCTCTCGCTGATGCGCGGCTGTCCCCGGTTGATCAAAGCAAGTCAGACGAAATAAGCACTCCTAGCCGATGCTCGACGGCGGCATGAAATTTCGCGACTCTGGTCATCGTTTAGCAATTCCTATGACAAAAAAAGACATTTCCATTACTCTGTCGACTCTTTTTATGAAGTTGATAGGTTGTTGGCTGGTGAGTACCGATGGGGAACGAAGGTTGAGGACTCTCGCCATGGTCTACACGATTGTCATGCTGTTTTTCAGCATATACGTTCACGTAACTGACATGTATCATAGTTTGGACGACATCGACGTGAGTGTAACCGTTTCGCCAGTCTCGATCGTCGGTTATACTATCAGGTTCTGTACGGTCCCGTCTAATTCCGCGTCAGTTTGGAAATTTTCGTGATTGGTCACTTTCTGAAATTCAGAAGTTAACAATTCGTACACCGATTTGTTTTCAAGTTTGAGCGAAATGCATTTGATATTAGCGAACATTTTCCGAAAATTGATTACTATACTGCGGTCATACTCAAGTTGAAAGTGCAACGAGATCAGATATTCTAATTCTGAGTAAACGATCCATTGTGTTTTATTTTCAACTAGTGCGCAAAATATTGGAAACTAAAATCTTTTACTACGATACTGCCGGGGTCATGAAACCGTGACTCCAGGGTATCGATTAAGGTTCAAGAGTTTTTGGAAAACACGTAACGCGATTTGATTCCGAGAAACTGCCAAAACTATGTCAAATTCTGACGGCAGAATGAAGCAAAGTCGCTCACGTTTATAAAGGGTTAATCAGGCATTCGGGGAACGTTTACAAGTCAATGTTAAATTAACGATTTATTTACCGATACATTATGATAATTCAGCGAACATTGTAAATATTTGTCCAATTGCAGAATTTTCTTTATCTATCTGCTAACATTCTAATGTCCATCACATCGTTGTTGAAGTGCAGCCTGTTGTACCGAATCAAACTGAGATTTTTAAAGTTGGTGATCTACACGAGAACGCATTTCTGGGACATCGAGTACAACGAAGACGAGCAAGTATACGTAGAGTCCGCTCGAAAATATATCACTTTTGTCGTCATGATCACGTACGGCTGTGTGTCGTACATTGCGATAGGTTACATCTGTATACCAATTTATGGTGAGTGTACGAAATTAATCGCGGATGCGAGAACAGTGCCGTTCTACGGTACCGGCTGGTAGACGAAATTCTCGCGATTATTAAGACACTTTACGGGATAGTATTCGTATCAACGATTTACAATTACTTATTTTTACTATCTCTGTTGCATCGTGCCTGTTGCACTTCTGCGATCTTGATTTTTTTCCACGCGCATTCCAGAGACCGTCTCGGGAAACGCATCCGTAAGAGTGCTTCCATTGAGGATGTGGCCGATTCTGGGCATGCCAATTTACGACACGCCATATTTCGAAATTCTATTCATCGTTCAGGTATTGCACGTATCTTTGTAGAGGGCAGATTTGTTAGCAAAGTTGTGTGGAGAATATTCAAGCATCGGTACGATATCCCAGGGGACCGTAAACGATTCGATGCAATTAAAACGATACTCTGATTTCACAGGCATTCTGCTGTTTGCAAATCGGCGTGTCCTTCGTATCTCTCGACAACTTTCTCATTCTCATCAATACGCACACAGCCTGCCAGTTCCAGATACTGCAGCACAGATTTTCGAATTTGTTCGACGCTGACAGCAAATTCATCGAACAGCCTGATTATGCGGATAAATGTTACAAAGACCTGAAGGGGTGCATTCAACAGCATCAAGCGCTTATCGAGTACTGTATCAGAGCGGAAGCTGTCTTTTCATTGAATATCTTAATTTATGTGGTGGTATTCGGCGTGGGAACCTGTTTGTGCATGTATCAGGCGCTTCTAGTAAGTTGAAATATTATATACAGTGGAATACGCGATTTTCCGGGTCAAGTAATCGTCCGGATAATCAATCAGTTTTTTAATTAACTGCGGTGCAAGATTTAATAATCTTTATCAATTCGTATAGTAAATCGTTTTGCATACGTGTCGCTTTAGATTGTGCAGATTTCATGTCAAATGTATACTGACCTTAGAGAATTCTAATATCGGAGAACCGGATAATCAAGGTTCCATTGTACTATTAAAGAATCTTCTGTGAAATATTGCAAGCATCAAAGCATAATGTATATGTTAGGGAATCTTGCACGAATATTGACGAAACAATTAATTTGGTAGACGCTGATAGTAATGTACGATGCGAACAGATGAAGTTTGTATCTATGATTTGACGAATTGCCTAATCTTCATAACGAATGATCTTTTACAGGGCGATATATCTGTTGAACGGCGAGTGTGTTTCATATTCTACGTAGGTGGTATTATACTTCAATTGCTACTGATTACGCATTCTTGCGGTATATTGATAACTGAAAGCACGAACATTGGATCGGTTGTGTACGCAACTTTGTGGCCCGTTTTGTCAACGAATAGATCCGGCAGAATGCTGAGAAGACACATACATATGATCATACTGAGATCACAGAAACCCTGTCAGTTAACTGCTGGCGGATTCTTCCCTGTGTCCTTACAGACCTCTACTAAGGTAGCTGATTATGATTATTCGATTTGGAAACATCTATACACAGATTTTTATGCATTCACGCGACGTGTGAATTTTTAAGATGGAAGAAGTATAAATTAACGAGGTCTGATAGAATTTTTCTATTTTTGGAACGAGCAATCTTGTCGTTGACTGAGGAAACCTTTCTCTATTTTTAATTTTCGTAAAGTGTCCTGTGAAAATGAAAATTTGCACGAGTATCCACGGTGTAGTAATGAAACGAATAGACTGTATTATGTTTACTTTTTCGAATGATGCAGTCAATTGCATAATGAAATAGTTATCGAGCTATGCGACATTTGATAATAGGAGCATTTATTTTCGAGACAATTCGATCATGACAATATTGTGTTTTGCAGCTCGTCAGTACCGCAGTGTCTTATTTCACCCTGCTGAAGCAATCATCGGAGTCGTAATTACCCGTGTGCACGTGAAATTAATTTATTAATTTCATGGAGCAGCAAGCAGTCACGGAAACTATTATTCATGGGCATCGATAGAATTATCATATAGGTAATAATTAGCAGAAGATCGTGCACATTTTTCGAACGTGCGATATTTAAATTGCATTAAAGATATTTGTGAAACAATCTTGCAGAATGTAAAACATTGATATCTGCACTGGTAACTACCACGGAGTTACAGCGATGTACCAACGAGTCGGTCTATGCAGTAGTGATTAAAACAAAACGCGTTAGTAATGAAATTAAGAAAATACGTAATAAATGTAGTAAGTCAAATGTAACCGCATTCTTTCGATGTGATTCTACACGATCGATTTGATACGTTCAATACAGGTAACAGTATGCTAATATTTATTGTCACTGTATTTGCAAGATAAAATGGTCCGATGGCGTAAAAACAATTTTGATCGTCTCTATCATTTTCCCGAGAAAAAAAACCCTCACTTCCAGCATACTCTGATGCAATAATTCTAAGCAGAGTGATCGCAAATTGCGCAGATTTTTGATAATTCATAAGTTGATATCGGATTTTATGTATTTAGAACAGTAACGCGACGACTGAATTGAAAACAGTGGGGACATTAAATGAATTTCAACAGTATCAACGTGTATATTATTTCTGAGTTCTATTTAGATATTTCTATTTACCCCCGTATGTGTACCATATTGATCCTATATATATTATATATAGATATAATATAATAAACTATAATATACTATACTATATTTACTATATAATATACTATATAATATATTTATAATATAATTTAATAATTATATATATATATATATATATATATATATATATATATATATATATATAATTATTACTATTATATATATATATAATGATATATAAAATCTGCAGTGTGCTCCCGAGAATATAGTATCTTCTTTTGGCAGTTCACATGAATGCAAGAAAATGACAAAGACGGTTCTCGGAATAAAGTCTTCCACCATTCGACAAACCATAGTCGAGACCATCAGATAACACTTGACATAAAATGGTTACGAATCCTAATCGAGACGAAGGTTTTCGCCTTTCGAATCCGAAAAGACTGAATACAAAATAGAGGTAAAAGTAAATACGAACAAAACATCGGAAAGTATTATACGATATCATTTGAAAAAAGAGAACAGTCCACTTAACGAACATTGTTGACCATCGGATAGCGCGTCCTTCGATGCGCCAGCAACGGTTGCCGCACGTGTTCTTCGGTGCAGCAAACAAGAGCAACTGAATAGCAGAGGTAGAACCATGAATAGACGCCCTTTCGTCTCGCATTTCTTGACGCGTTCGTTTCACGCGTGGCAGAAGGTGCGAGGGGCGAAAGATACGTATTTGAAGTTAAAGAGAATCGATAAGTGGACGAGTTGACAGGTGGAAAAAAGGCGCGAGTGCTATCGGGACCCAGCTGACATCAAGGAAATCAATTGAAGTGTTCCTGCAGGCGGCGGGCACGAATGTTTCTCGGTATTCGAAGTTAGCCATGCGGCTGATGCAGAGTAGAGACATTTCGATCGACTGGACATGCCTGTTGATGAAATCCGTTGGCATATGGCACGCGGCCGACCAGACCGAGCAACGACGAAGAAACGCGGCGCTGATCTACACGATCAACGCGATCTCGATCGCCACGTGCATCGCGTTCAGAGATATCTATTTCTCCTGGGGGAACGTTAGCGTGAGTATGCACTCCCGAAAACTTTTCTAAACTGTTGTCATCGCATCGTCGCGTTGCATTACCTATCGGTGAGTTTCGAAGCACTTAAGAAGTGCTCCTGAACTTCAGGCGGCGGATTCTGATTTTAGTTAATCTTCGATTTGAAAAAACTGCAGCTGGTCTATGCGCGTGCAATTTTATCTGTGACTGTTGCATTTTTCTAGAACTGCGTTTTCATTATGTGCAACATGTTATACCTCATGATCGTCCTCTTCAAGATCGCCGTCCTGTATGTGAACAGATCCGAATTCTTTGAACTAGTCCGATACACGCAACAGAATTTCTGGCATTCGAACTACGACTTTGAGGAATCCATGATTCTGGACAATTGCAGAAGGGTGTCTGGAATCTTCATCATTGTACTTAGCTTTTGCACTCAGGGCACTTGCGCTGGGTACATGGTGACGCCTCTAATAGGTAACTTGAACGAGATTAAAAATTTGTCATTGTAAAGTACAATCTTACTCCCGATTAAAATTATCAATGCTTTTCTTTATGTTTAATTCTATAAATATAGAATTTAGAATTCTAATGATAGTAATTCTAAATGTAGAATTTGGAGTTCTAATAATAATAATTCTAAATATGGAATTTGGAATTCTAATAATGTTAGTTCTAAATATAGCATTTAGAATTCTAATAATATTAATTCTAAATGTAGAATTTAGAATTCTAGTAACAGTAATTCTAAATATAGAATTTAGAATTCTAATAATAATAATTCTAAATATAGAATATAGAATTCTAGTAATAAGAATTCTAAATATAGAATTTAGAATTCTAATAATATTAGTTCTAAATATAGAATTTAGAATTCTAATAATATGAATTCTAAATATAGAACTTACAATTCTAATAATAACAATTCTAAATATAATACATCATTCGTTATAACATTTATCTTTTTCCTAGTCGCACTATTTGATCGTTATCGTATTCTTGTGTTGCATAATGAAAGAATCATCCCATTAAAAGCATAAACATTACTATTATTGTTATTACGAACGTCTCAGTAAAAATTAATTTGTACGTTCGACCGTGTTTCTGCGAAATGTAATTCCAATAATAAATATTACGTCGTTCGTAAAACAAACTGGGCAATAATTTCAATCAAAATTCAAATAGACGGTGTCTCCTGAAAATGATATTTTTCCATTTCTGCATACTTGTCCGCGCTGCGAAGAACGCTGTAAAACTTCGCGTGCTCGTGATATAATTTCGAAACACCTCCGATAAAATGACAAAAATTCAAGTAACACTTGCGGAAACGGTCCTCGAGATTAGATCGTGCGCCAATAAGAACGTGGCACTGACGTTCCAGAAAATATCGGAAGAAACGAAACCGACAGGATTTTACCGTTCAACATGTGGGTCAGCTATCCCACAGGAAAGTCGCCGTACTTCGAGGCGTTGTTCACGATACAGGTACTGTTAGTTTCATTTAACAAATGCAACACCAATGACGGCAGTTACTCCTGTGCAGATCCTGTGCGTGTATCACGTTGGTATCTGTTACATTTGTTTCGATAATTTCTTGTGCCTCGTGAACTTACAAGTAGCTAGTCAATTTCGCATATTGCAAAACAGGCTGAATAATTTGAACAGCATCGCTGAGGCACAAGCCGATAACGAGGAAAGCCTGGCCAGATACGCGAGAATCTATCAAGCGAAGCTGGCGAGCTGCGTTCGACAGCATCAGGCGCTTGCCGAATACTGCAAGCACGTTGAGAATATATTTACGATGATCATACTCGGACAGGTGATGTTTCTGAGCTTGATAATGTGCCTCGTGGGCTACCAGCTGTTTTTGGTAAGCAAACATTTTTTTAGTGAACTTTATATTTTATAGATTCGTGACTAGACTGAGTGGATCAAATGAGAAACTCTTTCAACTATTAACCCTTTGCACTCGAAGCCATTTTAATTGTAAATCTAATTTAATTTTTCCGACTTATGGTATTTCCATTTTATATAACAAAGTGCATTTTATCCATATGAAATTTATAGTCTTGCGACTCGTACAACAGTTAGACTTTTAACAATTTTTCTACGTCTAGACTTTTATAATATAAAAATTATCTTGGAACGTGATGTAACAATTTTAGTGGTGCCTCAGCGTCACCAATCGAGTGCAAAGGGTTGAAAACGTCTGTTTTTAAGCTCGATGAAAACGTATGTTGGAAACTGCGTATTATACTTCAGTCGACAGTAATTCTTTTTGCAATTTATTATGATCTAAACAGATCTCGAAATTGCTCTGAACGTTTGCTCTTTGTATGCTATAAAAAAAATTGTAGGTTTATCACTTATCCATACTTAATTAAATTATGGCAACCAGATCACAATGAATATTTTACTTGTTGTTGATAGCGTGTCTGGTTTTTTTGCTATTTCAAGATCAACGATATCTGAACTCATTGTACTCTAGATCATGAATTAGATTTTCAGGTGCTAAGACAAAATAATGAAAATATAAATACATATTCTCATTTAAAAAATGTAAATGTCATTAAAAGTAATATTAAAGTAATATTATCGAGAAGAAGTAAAACATTCAAAATGACTAAGTTACTTCGTTCACCCAGTATATGAATAAATTAATAATTCACGAGAATTATATAACGAACAATTATTGTTTCTCTGAAGAAATTAATACATCGCGTACATCAATTTAAAAATGTCCACTCCTGAAACGTATAAATAAAAGTTCCCAACGATGATCCTACATATAGAATTTATGCAAAAGAATACAGAACTATGAAGAAACATCTAACTTACACATGTCATTTTCTCACGAGATTAACATTTCCGCAGGCAGATACACCTCCATCTCGTAACGTCAGTCTGATCCTGAATTTGATGGGCACACTGTGTCAACTCTTGATGATCACGTATAGTTGCGACGGCATAATACGTCAAAGCTCGAATGTCAGCAAAGCGATACTATTCGGACCGTGGCCGAAGCTGCCAATGAACGGAGTTGGCAGAATTCTGCGGAAGAACATATTATTCATGATTTTACGGTCGAGCCGACATTGTTGTCTGACGGCCAGCGGATTCTTTCCAGTGTCATTAGAAACGTACACTGGGGTAAGATATTGCCATTATGAGATATTTTAGCATTTTTTATTACCATTTTCGACATTAATTATGTATAAAAAAAGGCATAATATAATATAATATTTTCAAACAGTGTTCCATCGTTTCTGAAAATTTCCATTCGATCTA